TACTGTCCAAGCTCACATTATCCCTCGCGTAGACCTTGGTGTTTCCGTTCTCTCAGGAATCGCGTCCGCATCCGTCTTCCTCCAGCTCGACGGATATGGTTCACTTGACATGAGCCTACAAGTTGAAGGCTCAGCATCCACCTCTGTTTTGCCCAGCGCACCCGCCAAGACTATGGCCGACACTGAAACCTTGTCGCTTCCTGCCACAACCACTGCTACCTCTGAGGAGGCTGTGGCACCAACGGAACAACCATCGGCAGAATCTCCAGAAGACCCATCATCTACTGATTCGTCAGACGCTGTATCTTCAACAGCTTCCGATGCAAAGCTCGACGAAGCAAACACAGAGACGACACCCACCAGCACTGCCGATATAGTTGCCGCCACTGGCAACTCTGACCCCTATGTCCCAGAGCTTGCAGAGCTCTCTCCTTCCCCTCAAGGAGAAGATTATAATGCAACCGAGCCGACTTCTCAGGGTAATATCGTATCCACTCGTCCTCTCAGCTGCCCTTCAGGTCGCCGTCACCCTCGCCACAAGCGACGAGACCTCGTCCAGAACCAGCCTCGAGATAATGTCAACTTTGGCGGTTGTGTTGGAGTTGAAATGGGCGTCAAGATTGTCGCTGGTGCTCAAGGCAAATTGCTCTCCTTCTGGAAGGATTCTGTGTCCACCGACTTGTTCAGTCAGAGTTGGAAAATCTTTGAGGTAAGGAATTAACTTTGTCGATCCCATACACCTCTTTCTCACACGAGTTCTCTAGAAATGCTTCCAAACCTCCTCAAAAAGGTCGATAGGCGCATGGCATGGTCCGATAACGCCTTCCCTCCCACATTCATTACAATCTCGTCAATTGGATGGTCTCATTTGTCCCGCCATTACCGACTCAATCAACGCGCTCAATCAGGTTATTTAATCATCCTTTCGTTTTTCTCTTGTAGATGCCCGCGGCGTCGGAGCTAGCCCATCTTTTTCATGTTATACAGGTTATACATCCCAATGTAAAATGGTACTCTAGTGAAAAAACACGAAGCATAGCCAAATACCATGTCCGGCATCCTGATCTATGCCATCTGGTCGATATGCTGCTCGAATATGTGGTTTTGTAAGAGCTGTAAGCTATTAGTTAGTGCAACAATAATCTTGCGTGATGGACTCGCCTCTTTGCTAGAGAAATAGTACTGGCAGTCAGTATCGTTTACAGTCCAGTG